CGGATGAGCGATTTTTGTAAAAAATGTAATACAAATTCAGTTGAGGACGAACAACATTTTATCCTAGATTGTGAATTTCTCAATAAAGAAAGAGGGGAGCTGTTTCAGGAAATAGGAATTAAAAATAAACTAAAGAAAACAGATAATTTCATTAAAATAATGACGTGCTTCATACCCCTGGCAAAGTTTCTAAATAAGGCAAAACAGAAATCAGGTATATGATAGCTATCACCTCTACATTGGGAGAATCCTGTAACTATCCTTAATTTGTTTTTCCTATTAAGCTTTTAATTTTTAATTTTATCTTATAGTCTAGCTACTGTATTTTTTCTTGATTTGTATTTTATTTACCATACTGCGCCCTCTAATGGCATAGTAGTGTAATAAAGTTATTATTATTATTATTATTATTAATAGAGACATTAAGATGCGCATACGAGAACGGAACGAGAACGGATACGTCACCGCTTTGTGCATGACCTCCGCGCGAACCAACGACGTCATCGGTTGCCTGGTCGTATGGCAGTCGTTTTGAACATGATAAAGGTGACTGACTCGTAGTTGATTTTCTGAGAGCTTTTGTCGCTGTCAATTTTGATTAATTTTTACTGACATTGATAAAACGTTTTATATTAGAGTGATTTTGTATATTTATGATGAAATAAGAAATATTGGATGCAATTTAGCTGATACTTAAACCCATTGAAAACGCATGACATTGTTCTGCTGAAAGACGTCGGCAAACAGGCCTGGGACCTCAGCAGAGTGGATGGAAATATCGAGAGTTCTGTCAAATGTCTGTGAACTAACTGATTCTGATTCTGATTCCGGACGTGAAATGACATAACAAATTTTATTGGATATTATGGTTGCCCAATGATAGACGGATTGACATGGTTCTGGTTTTAGTTATGTTCCCGTTGTGGACGCTTGTACTTAATAGGTTTCTGACACCCGGGAGCGTAACGCAAACAAAATTAGAACTGCACATTATGTTCTCGTTATGTACGCAAATCTTAAACTCTCTAATGTGAGCTGTCATGTAGTAGCACGGAAAGATAGGTATACTTGGGTTACTAAGGTTGGGTGGCTTTATTGCCATTCATGTGACCAGTCATGTAGTAGCACTGAAAGGTAGGTATACTTGGGTTACTAAGGTTGGGAGACTTTATTGCCATTCATGTGACCAGTCATGTAGTAGCACTGAAAGGTAGGTATACTTGGGTTACTAAGGTTGGGTGTCTTTATTGCCATTCATGTGACCAGTCATGTAGTAGCACTGAAAGGTAGGTATACTTGGGTTACTAAGGTTGGGTGACTTTATTGCCATTCATGTGACCAGTCATGTAGTAGCACTGAATGGTAGGTATACTTGGGTTACTAAGGTTGGGTGGCTTTATTGCCATTCATGTGAGCTGTCATGTGGTAGCACGGAGAGGTAGGTATACTTGGGTTACTAAGGTTGGGTGACTTTATTGCCATTCATGTGACCAGTCATGTAGTAGCACTGAATGGTAGGTATACTTGGGTTACTAAGGTTGGGTGGCTTTATTGCCATTCATGTGAGCTGTCATGTGGTAGCACGGAGAGGTAGGTATACTTGGGTTACTAAGCTTCTGAGACTTTATTGCCATTTATGTGACCAGTCATGTAGTAGCACTGAAAGGTAGGTATACTTGGGTTACTAAGGTTGGGTGACTTTATTGCCATTAATGTGAGCTGTCATGTGGTAGCATGGAGAGGTAGGTATACTTGGGTTACTAAGGTTCTGAGACTTTATTGCCATTCATGTGAGCAATCATGTAGTAGCACTGAAAGGTAGGTATACTTGGGTTACTAAAGTTGGGTGATTTTATTGCCATTCATGTGACCAGTCATGTAGTAGCACTGAATGGTAGGTATACTTTGGTTACTAATGTTGGGTGGCTTTATTGCCATTCATGTGACCAGTCATGGAGTAGCACTGAAAGGTAGGTATATTTGGGTTACTAAGGGTGGGTGACTTTATTGCCATTCATGTGACCAGTCATGGAGTAGCACTGAAAGGTAGGTATATTTGGGTTACTAAGGGTGGGTGACTTTATTGCCATTCATGTGACCAGTCATGTAGTAGCACTGAATGGTAGGTATACTTGGGTTACTAAGGTTGGGTGGCTTTATTGCCATTCATGTGAGCTGTCATGTGGTAGCATGGAGAGATAGGTATACTTGGTTTACTAAGGTTGGGTGACTTTATTGCCATTCATGTGACCAGTCATGTAGTAGCACTGAATGGTAGGTATACTTGGGTTACTAAGGTTGGGTGGCTTTATTGCCATTCATGTGAGCTGTCATGTGGTAGCACGGAGAGGTAGGTAGCATAGTGGTTACTAAGGTTCTGAGACTTTTTTTTTTTTTTTTTTTTTTTTTATTTTTTTTTTTTATTTTTTTTTTAAATATATTTTTGTGCCAGGCGACAGTTCTGGACATTGAATGTCACCGTTGTCTCTCCTGACTTTTTTTTTGTATGTGCAAATTGCAAGTGCTAGTGCTGACACATAGTGCATTTTGCCACAGAAGTCATATTCATGTTTGGGACTACATGACAGGGCTGTGTGGCCATCTCTCTGTCAAATGGCAATTTTAATGCGCTATCCTGGCGTCAACCATGCTCGGTCGTACACAAGCACCTGCGGACCTTAACAAAGGTTCCCCCAAAGTCGCATTCGTTAGTGAATGAATCTCGGCCAGTGGAATTGGCCTTCCCATTGAGTCTGTGACACACTCACCCAGGGTAGGGGTTGACCCTTTGATGTTCAGCCTAAGGTAGGATTTGAACATGGGTCTACCGATCATGAGTCTGGAGCGACAACCACTATGCTACCAGTGACCGGTTAGGTTCTGAGACTTTATTGCCATTCATGTGAGCTGTCATGTGGTAGCACTGAGAGGTAGGTATACTTGGGTTACTAATGTTGGGTTACTTAATCACCATTCATGTGAAAGTTAGGTTTGATACCAGTTTGCTGACACTTGTTTACACTTGTTCATCTGGTACACTGATGATTAAATGATACATGGTTGCTGTACAGATTACAGACGCAGAAGAAGGTGTGCACCCATCCACTGCAGCTGCCTTGAGATGCTGTAAACAACAAGTACTCAGACCATATTGGAGATTACTCTGTTTGGTGAGTATGTGTAGCCGTCATACTTGTTGTGACTCACTGGGAGACTGACTGACAGCGAGACTGCGAGTCTCGCAAACAGTGATTGATGGCGTCACAGTAATAGTTGAGATTGTGACTGACAGCGATACTTGCAAACAGTGACTGATGATGTGACAGTAACTGACAGAGGAGATTGTGACTGACAGGGGAGATTGTGACCATTAGGGGAGATTGTGACCAATAGGAGAGATTGTGACCGACAGGGGAGATTGTGACCGACAGGGGAGATTGTGACCGACAGGGGAGATTGTGACCAATAGGGGAGATTGTGACAAACAGGGGAGATTGTGACCAACAGGGGAGATTGTGACTGATGATGAGGTTGTGACTGACAGGGGAGATTGTGACCGACAGGGGAGATTGTGACCGACATGGGAGATTGTGACCGACATGGGAGATTGTGACCGACCGGGGAGATTGTGACTGACAGGGGAGATTGTGACTGACAGGGGAGATTGTGACCGACAGGGGAGATTGTGACCGACCGGGGAGATTGTGACTGACAGGGGAGATTGTGACTGACAGGGGAGATTGTGACTGACAGGGGAGATTGTGACCAACAGGGGAGATTGTGACCAACAGGGGAGATTGTGACCAACAGGGGAGATTGTTACTGATGATGAGGTTGTGACTGATGAGGAGATTGTGACTGACAGGGGAGATTGTGACTGACAGGGGAGATTGTGACAGATGAAGGGATTGTGAACGACGATGAGGTTGGGACTGACGAGGAGATTGTGACTGACAGGGGAGATTGTGACTGACTATGAGATTGTGACTGACGGGGGAGATTGTGGCAAATGGAGAGACTGTGACTGACGGCATGACAGTAACTGACGAGGAGATTGTTACTGATGAAAAGATTGTGACTGACAGAAGAGACTGCATATTACTGATGAGAAATTGTGATTGACTTGGAGATTGTAAATGACAGGAGACTATAAATGTTTTAATGTTAGTCTTTATTGCTCTAGATTGGTTGGAGAGCTTTTGGCAGAGAGGCAATATATTATTCCCGATGCTGGAAATGTATAAATGTTATCTATCCGTTCTTTATCATATTGTTGTTGCTATTTACCTATACTTATCAAGTATTGGCTTGCCAAGGACGATTGGATGTAGATGGGGTAAGACAAATTTTTGGAATGTATCTTATGTCTCACTTGCCTTAATATTCACAATACCTCAACTATTCTCCTGGTAATATAATCTTATATATATACTGCCTTCACAGTCTTGTAGTGGTAATGGACCAAAGATACAGTGTTTTAGTGTAATATTACATTACTATTATTTTACAGGCTGTTACTGTCAATCCATACCTTACTGCATACATACTGCCCTCACAGTCTTGCAGTGTAATATTACATTACTATTATTTTATAGGCAATTACTCTCAATCCACAAC